TTCGATGAGTTGTGTAGTGGGAGTGAATTTGGAGGAAAGGGAAGTAAGTGAGTGTGCAAGTGTATTAGGGTGTGCTATATCGGATTGGCCTATCACTTATTTGGGCCTCCCCCTAGGAGATAACCTCAGGAATGAAAGCTTTGGAACCTGGTAGTAGAGAGATTTGAGAAGAGGCTTGCTTCTTGGAGGAAAAATTATCTTTCTCTTGGGGGGAGAATCATCTTGATTAGGTCTACCCTTTCTAATCTTCCTGTTTACTTCATGTCAATGTTTAAGATTCCTATAAAGTCTCCAATAGGGTGGAAAAATTAATGAGGGATTTTTTATGGGAACCAAGAGTGGAGAAGAAAGACCATAGGGTGAGTTGGGAAGTGGTAAATAGGAGCAAGAAGCTAGGGGGGCTTGGGATTGGGAATATTAGGAAAAGGAACATGGCATTATTGGGGAAATGGTTGTGGAGATTCCCATTGGAAAGGGACAAATTGTGGACGAAGATTGTGGCTAGCATACATGGGATGGATGAGAATGACTGGGATCCAGGAATTTTCGCAAGGGCTATTGCCGCTTCCTCGCGGAAAGCCATTCATGATTTGCTTCTAATTTTCTCTCATTGGATCAGGTACGATTTGAACTCCGATAATCGAATAAAATTCTAGGAGAAAATTTGGGTTGGAGACCTACCCCTGAGAGACCAATTTCCCTCATTGTTTGTGTTGTTAGGTTTGAAAAATGAACCCATTTCCTCCTTAGTTTCTTCTGATTCTTCTTCTGGGTTTGGGTGGAATCTGGGGTTGAGGGGCGGTAAGGGATACAGATTTGGGGTGTATCTCATCTTTGCTAACCATCCCTGAAAATGTTTCTTGAACCCCAGTAAGGAAGACACTAGAATCTGGACCCCTTCCTCCTCCGACTCTTTCTCTTGTGCCTTGTTTTTTGAGACATTAGTTCAACGTACTACTCCGCTTGGCCTGTCATTCCCTGTTAAAGAGATTTGGAGCAAACCCATTCCTCCTCGGGTTGGTAGTTTTTGTTGGGAAATTTTCCTGCAAAGAGTTAACACAAACGACTTGTTTCAAAGAAAGAGGCCCAACAAGCATTGCACCCTGCAAAGAGTTAACACATTATGGTTACTTGTCCAGTTACTAAGACTGTTTGGGAATGGGTGTTTTCCCTTTTTGGGTATACTTGGAATCCCCCCGTGAGGGTGCAATGCTTGTTCTATCCCTCATTCTTTAGATGGCCTAAGAAAAGGGGGAAGGTTATGTGGAGAAGCATTAGGGCTGCAGTGTGCTGGTCAATATGGGAAGAAAGAAATTCACAAATTTTTTCAGATAAGGAAAGAACCACAGAAAACCTAATAGACTTGATACACTCAAGGATAGCTCACTGGCTGAAATCAATGAAGATATTCTCTGAATTTTCTATGGCAGACTTGTTGAGAAAGTGGAAAGAGGTAGCTACTGCTGCTCTTTGTAAAAGGACCTGTAGACCCTCTTGGACCCCCCCTCCTGCCAGATTCATAAAACTGAATTTTGATGGATGTAGCTTAAGGAATCCGGGGCCTTCTGGGATTGGGGTGTTTTCAGGAATGAGGGGTATATTATTGCCATGTTATCTGGGCCAATTGGAGAGGGTGACTCTCTTAGGGCCGAAATTCTAGCAGTTCTTGAAGGAATCCAAAGAGCAAGAGAATTAAGCATCAGATGTCTAGTTATTGAGGGGGATTCGGAGGTGGTGATTAGGTGGCTGAAAGGAGATATCAGTGGCTTGTGGAGCTACAGCAATGAGAAGAAAAAATTTAATTGGCTGAGTAAGGACTTAGAGGTGCAATACAGCAGGGTGAAGAGAAATGCTAACTCAATGGCTGATGGGTTAGCTAAGCAAGGGGTGGCTAAGGATTATTTGTTTTGGGCAAATTTTTAGTTTCTTCTTTGTCATTTTAATGTTGGGGAGTTAAGATAGCTTACCTCCCCTTTTTCTGTAATTAAATTTCACAAGTATTATTCATTAATAAAGCTTTCTATTATTGATAAAAAGAAAAGGTCAAGACAAAGCAGTGTGCAGGAATCTTCTGTTGGTCTCTGAAGGAGCTTCCAAATAGGAAGACGTTGAAGTAATTAGAAATAAGAGCCCATGAAAAAGCAATCGATAAACTTAACATCCTTTCTGTAACAAGAAAGAAAGAAACCCAATTAGTGTAGTTGGATTATTTACTTCTAGGAATGAAATGAAGATCTGTGTTTTTTATCCCTCTGTTTTAATTAACTCATGATGCTTCTTGCACTACAGGATAAGAATTGTGTGGTTTTGCCCAACTTTTAAGGGTGTAGGGGTGTTCATTTGGTCGGGTTGGTTTGGTTTGGAAATAGAACCTAACCAATATTTCAGTTAGGCCATTTTTTCATAAACCTAACTGAACCGAATTTAAATAGGTTAATTTGGTTAGTTAAAATATCCATATAATTTATATTAATCATTGTTAGTAAAATATATCAATTTTTATAATTAAAATACGTATTATATATTATTAATAATATAAATAGTAATGTTAATGTATATTAATATTAATATTTATAATTAAAAGATAAATATATGTATTTATTTTGATTAATTCAATTTTTGGTTTGTTTCGGTTGAATTTTTTCTCAAATCAAACCAAAAACTGAAGATCGAAATTTCTAAAACCATAAAAACGAAGTAACCAAACTGAATTGGCTTATTCAGTTTGGTTCGGTTTTCGGTTTAATAACCGAATTTGAACACCCCTCAAGGGTGTATTCATATGGGAGTCAAATAAACAACCCGAGGAACATTGGCGTTTGCAGTAATATCAGTTTTTTGCTCAAAACTGCACATCATACAAAGGTCGAACCGAAATACCATGGACGAAATAGAGATTCAGTCCCCAAATAAATAAAAATAAAGAATGAGTAGTACAGGTTGGAAGTGGAAAGGTAAAGAATGAGTAAAGTGTTGGGTTGAAAAACAAATCCCATCTATTAATATTGTCAACTACTTGTTGTTCACGTGTCTGCCCGCTAATAATTTAACGGAAGCCACGAAAGTGTTTTTTTTTGTTTTTTTCTCTATATCCAATATTTTTTGTTAGTTATTGTTACTGTTGTTGGTATTGCTGTATTATTTATTTATTAATTATTACTTTTTATTTATTTTATATATTGGAGGGACTTAAGCGAAAGCCCAGCTGCCCAGAAACCAATCTAGAACTAATACCACGAACCATGACGATCACGGAGTCTTGTAATAGCCTATACTGTATTACTGTGTGGCACTAGCGTTCATGTTTGCGATTTTCGGTCCTTCGTGATTAATGGTCCGTGGCTCTAGCATTTATCAAGCGCTCAAGTGTCAAGCCTAAAACAAGTGCCTCGATTCGTCCTGTGTATTTAGCCAAGTTCAAATCTTCTTTCGTAATTAGCAGTGATTGATCCAGTCACCATACTACCACCTCATCTCCATACACCGGGTTCACATGCTGATGTGGCATGTCCTGATTGGCCCCCCACTATCATCCAGTTTTAGTATGCTGATGTGGCATACCATGATTGGCCTATTATTGTCCAGTTTTTAGTAGATTATTCATCGGATGCACCATCACTTCACTTGGACGGTTCCATATTTCCATATCAAATGGAGGAGAAAACAAACTGAAAAATGTAAACCAGACCATGACATGTTATAGAAAGGACTAGCTGAATTTGATAGCTATTTTAATGGTTGTGGCACCAGTCATTTTGTTCCACACGTGCATATATTTATGGCTGGTGTAGAGCAAAACGATTGATTCCATAGTCAATGAAATAGCTACCAAATTCAGCTAATCGACATGCATGTTAATCCCTATAACAATACAAATACATACATGACGTAACATAAATATAAAGATGATTAAAATGCAAGTTTTCGTGTACATAAAATACTGTAAGTAGCATACACCATGACACGAATTATGTAGGCATAAGAGGATTAGTTCTAGTCTTCTAGATAGTACGTTTGTAACGTTTGTTATTAGCATTAGGAAGTAATTTTCACATGTTATGATGCTATTTTTACAAGCATGCTATCAATAGATTCTTTTTGGATGGTTGCCATTTGTTTGTCATGTAAGCATGTATATCATCAAATTAACGAGTTGGTTTTGGAGGTGCAAGATGTTCCAGTTGGACCTATTACTATGACTTAAGTAACCATAAATGAACCATAGGTAATGCCAAAGTTGGTCTCGGATTGTGTCTGGACCATGCTTATCATGAACCTGTGGTCCATTGTTGGGCTTAAATTTTCACTGGTCCATTGTTTGTCATGTAAGCATGTATATCATCAAATTAACGAGTTGGTTTCGGAGGTGCAAGATGTTCCAGTTGGACCTGTTACTATGACTACTAGTAACCATAAATGAACCATGGGTGATGCTAAAGTTGGTCTCGGATTGTGTCTGGACCATGCTTATCATGAACCTGTGGTCCATTGTTGGGCTTAAATTTTCACTGGTTTGACCTTTTCTTCGTTGCTGTATGTTATGTGTAAGCTCATGAGACTCTCTTGTGTATCCATGTAGTAGTAGGACTTGGTCATCCATCACTCAATGGCCTTGAGATGCTGACCCATACAAGGCCATAATTCATATGTCACTGTTTTTTAGACATGCTCAGGCCTTCTCCAAAGTTTTGGTGAGAGCCTAATTTTGGGGGGTCAGGGCAGGCTTATGGATGGCTGTCCGGGGTGAAGGCCAGGTGAGAGCTTACCCCACAGTCTGACCAAGGTCAAGATTAGCCTGCAGTTTGTATTTGTATGACATCATTAGTCAGCTAAGAGCATGGTCGAATTTGTATTGGTCACCAATCAATATCTATTCATGAATAAAAACACCATTCAATACAAGTCGACCTGCTGAAACCATGAGATTTTTTCCCTTTTGGAAAATTCACTATAATTATGCTACTGAGATAACAAAACCATTGTTTACTTACACTTGATAGCAAGCACATCAAGGATTGCATCTGGTTTCTTGCTACAGAGTCCCCCACAAAGGCCATCGACTTCCCTCTAACGATCTCCAGGAACTGTATCGCCTCGAAATGAGGTAGCTCACAGCCATCAGGTTTCCATCTCCAGTACAAGTAGCCGGTATCAGGTCTCCCATGCAGCATACAGTTTTGAGGACCATGTATGTGTTTGCAAGTTGTATTTGTATAATAAGGTCCCTTGGATTGCGGAACCCATTCCCCATTGAATATATCACACTTCTTTAACCTGAACTTTGTTGAATTATTTACACTTTTTCTATGAGAAGGGTAAGATGATGAGGATGGACTCTGATGGACAAAGGGAGGGATGATGGTGAAAAGAATAAGGATTAGGGTGAGGGCCAGAAGTGTTTTGGGGGTGTTGTACAGGTTGGTCTTCCCATGAGGAAAGATCGATTACGGGAAGCTTCATTGAAGAAAAGTAAGAAGAGTTGATGCATTTGGGGTATATATAGGCCGGCGTGGACTGTGGAGAGTATTGCGTGGAGGTTTTCAGTTCTTTTCTATCGTTCTTTGTATGGATGTTGTACGTGTCATGACTTGTGAATGAATGTTCATTCTGATATTTATGTTTTGAGTATGGAAAAGACCGTTGAGGCCGCCCCTTTATGGTGGATAAGGACGTGTTTGGCGCAGAACTACGCCACCATATTCACCGCCACCTATCTTAAGCAAATGGTTGTATTGAAGTTACTGACTTGCCCATCTTATTTATGGATTTTTTATGTGGGATTTAGGGTTTTGAAATTTCAACGTGGGTATATGGATTTTTTTTCTTCGCATCATTTAAGCAGTCTCTCAAGTCAGAAAGCTATCAAGTAGTTTTGTACTAGGGGATTTTTGTTAGGTTTGAACAGTGGAATCTTCTCTCTCTCTCTCTCTCTCTAACCTCTTCCAACCCCTTTACCTTCTACTTGGTTGTCTCTTAAACTGCTTACTTTTTCGGACCTATATGCGTATATTGTAATGAGAAATTTAGCAGAAATGAAAGTTCTGATTTGTCAGCAGTCTCTTAAGGACTTTGCCTTCGTATAGGCAAGTTTAGGGGAAGATCTGTTGAAAAGCTATGAACATAAAGAGAAATTGCAAGAAAAATATCTACCATTTGAGCAAATTTTAAGCATTATTCGAGATATGGCACTCAGCGATGATGAGAAGTAGAGATCACCAGATGGCATTGCCTTCTATAAGTTAAGCTACCAAGATAAGAATTTCATAGTAATCAAAACTCACTTTAGTTTTTATAGAAATCTGCTAGTATAATAAGTACGAGTATTACGAGAAGGGGTGTCTCTATTCAATCCTCATTGAAAAATCTAGGAGAGAGGGAATATCATGGTCTTGTTATGGGCGTTGGAAGATCATATGTGGCTAATCAAGTTTTTACAAGGCTTCTCTATGATCCATTGGATGAGCATCTTATCTATGATCCCTTATGTAGGCCTGTTAAAATTTGGGATCTGGAAGGAGTATTTAGGGTCATTTACTAGAACATGCTTTATAGTTTCATAGATTTACTTAAATCTACACTGTAGTTTTTATTTTACTAAAATACCCCTATAATTTGTAGCTTATTTATTTAATTGATCTTTCACTAAGAAGAGTTTGTTTTGCCATCCAAAGATAGTAACATGATCATCACTTAAACTGAGTAGAAAATGTTCAAGGGCTTTGGCCCATAATTGTTTACAAGGTTCAAAATATCGATACGTATCAGGCCGTATCGATACATATCGGCCAATATGTATCATATCGAAGGCTTCCCGATACACCCCTCCAAGGGGTGTTTCGGGGTTTCAACCAGTTCAGGGGGTGGACAGACCTTAAACCGACCCCTCTGAATCAGATTAAAAAAAACTTAAAAAAAAAAAAGCTATTGATATTGCCCGATACGCCTCTATTGCTATATCGGGCGTATCAATATTTTGAACCTTGATTTTTTATTCCAAAAGCACCACCAACACTTATTCATGCAAACACAAAATTGACAAAATTGAGCCAAACAGAGTGGTTGCTTGTGTCTTACTAGGGGCAAAAATGGTATTTTCATTGTTTTCTTTGGATTAAGTTCATTCAAATGGAAATTAGGGTCAATACTATCATTTTTCACTGTCATCTAATGGAAGACCGATTAAGTAAATTGATTGCAACCTATATAAGGGTGTTTTAGTAAAATGCAACCTATAGGATACCTTTTAGTAAACCCATGAAATTATAGGGGGTGTTTATACTGTTAGTTGTTAAATAATTATTATCTCTTACATGTGTGTATTTGTAGGTTAACACTTTTAATTGGTTTTGTTTTCCTACTTAGCACTTTTAAAATTTTGATGTGTGAGAAATTCTTCTAAGGGTTCGTTTGGTTTACGGTTGGAATTGAAATAAAAATCCATTGGAATCAGAATTGAAATTTTTATTCCTCCCGCCTATTTAGTTTAAGAACCAGAATTGGATTTGGAATCAACTGGGATGGATTCACATTCCTAAGGGAGGGGGAAGGAATGACCATTCCACCATAAATGGAAATGTAATTCTGAACCTGATAGATAATCCGATCCATTTGCATCCCTAATCCCATGACTAAGTTAAACTTTATTTATTTTTTGTTTTCTTTTTTCCTTTTACAAATATATTTTGGTTGTAAATATTGCGGGCAATTGGGGAAAGTGAAGATGCAAGATAAACACGTTGTCCACGTGCAAACGTGGTGGGTCAATGCCAGATCTGATAGGCGTTAGAAATGTAATGGCTTAGAGGATCCTCTTGACATTCTCCTGACTCCTTGGGTGTTGCATGTGATCTGATGTCAACTTATAAGGGAAAATTTGCGTAGTTTCTTTTCCGTGGCAAGTTAATCACAAAGAGCTGCATTGAATCTCGGACTCGGAGGAGACTTGGCCCATTCAATGTGATGTGGATAGGTAACCCAGCTAATGGAGAGATTTCAATGGCCTAATAGTAAGTATTGGATTGACCACTATCAAGTTTCTAGCTAGTAGTAAAATAAGGCCATTAATAAGCCCAAAATTTCAAGATTTCATTATGGGAGGACAAGATCTCTCTCTCTCTCTCCATATGGGTATATCCCTTTTTCCATGGCAATGGCGTCGGCAACTCAAATGGGTGCTATTTACAGTGGCTACTCTTGTTTCTGTCCCAAAACTTCACAATTCTCTGCTATTCAATATTCACAGTTGAGAAGGAAACTTTTCTTAGTGCGTAGATTAAGCAAATAGAAAGCCCAAGCAAACCAGTTTTATTGGTTGTGGTTGCTTATTTTCTCATTCCGGCCTGTGCATGCATGCCAGAACGGAAACCGGATCTATTCACAACAACAACAAAAAAAAAAAAAAAAAACTATTCCAACACATGTGTCTAAACATGGTGGATCCTAGTTTCGTGGTGAGATGTGCGGACACTATTAGAATGTGTTGGAATAGTTTTTTGTTGTTGATGTTGTTGTGAGCAGATCCCAGCTCACCAGAACCTAACTTGCTGGGACAAAAACTTCATCATACAACTTCCTCCATTTCTCCTAATAAATGGATAAAAGTATTATTAGTATGAATCAGCAACTCATTTAATAAGGTATTAGGTCTACAAATTTTAAGTGCAAATTGTCAATAAATTCGGTTGCTCTTATTTGGAAAAGGCTGGTTCTGAGGATTATCATTTGTAGCCAGTTCCTAGCTTAAGCCTTAAGCGATGGTCACGTGCCACCACCCAAATTATTCACTAAAGTTATATATTTGGTTTGAAGGAAAAAATAGAAAAAGGAAGGGAAAGATAGAAAAACCAAACACAAAGGAAAAGAGAAATTGAATTCTAGAATTCAAGTAAAGTAATGGGTTTGAAACCATTTCACAATCTTTGGTAAATTATCTATTATGGGGTTTAACTATCAATTGCTATAGGTGCCCCCATTGGCAAGAAAGATAGTAATTAGAAGTAAAGAAGGGAGATTGGTTTGGCATGTTCTCTTTCATTGTTAATAATGATATATCATCTACTTATGTGATACTATGTCCAATGAATCTTGGCTAGTTTTAAGAAGCTTTGAAAAGGGTCATTGACGGCCTTGATCAGATATTTATGTGATTGATATATCACCACTTCACCACTTATGTGATTGATGCTCACAAAAAAAAAAAAAAAAAAAAAAACGTCAGACTGACTCCCAATAGCTTAAACATTAGAGTTGTGGATTCTGACCACAAAACATTGCTGGCCATGAACATAGTCTTACATTACATTGGGGACATCTTTTGTATTTAATATTGTCATTCAAGCTCAGGCTCAGTCTCAGTTTTGGAAAGAGTACAAAAACAAATATATACAGTACAAATATGGGGTTTAAAAATACAATATACAAAATTTTGCAGTGCACAGATTTGTAACGTAGTTGTATTCTTCCCAAACTGAGCCTCATGGGAAATGTTCCCATGTCCATGGTGGCTGTATTCATGTGGCCGGCTAACAATGTGATGAGTCAGCAGAACCAGATAGAGACTCTAAGCAACAAGTGTACGTGAATGCTTAAAACAATTAATGAAGTTATTGTGGTCATAGGTGTGAGCAATTTACGGGTGCATGTTATGACCAGCACAGCAGTACTCATGTTATCGGATTCATGCATGTTTCAAATCAAGTGTTGTTTGGATTTTGTTCTGAGAAGGATGATGGAAGGCACAAACTTGCTAATATATCAGCACCAATATCTAGAACCAGCCGGGCCAATTATTATAAACAATTTTAAAAACAGACCCAGAGGCTGAACCTTTTTTGCGTCTGGGTCATTGGTCACCGGTCAACTATTCAGGTTGAACATGTCAGACTGTGTGACATCATCATTTATATATTTAAGGTATACGTACATACATATGTGTGAATGTATATATGTATATGTATGTGTATAAACACACATTTTATCAATAAATAATGCATAATTATATTTTAGATATGTTATATGTAATGTTTTCAACACACCGTTGATCTGGTCGGTCGAATCGTTCGAACCATCACCCAGCCAGGACTCCAGGTTCGGTTCACTCAAGACCTGCCATATAGTAAAAACCATTGACTTGGTCAAGAACCATTTGACTTGGACGGTTCGACCATTGACCGGGTTGCGGGCTACACAGTCAATGCATACAAAACTTTCGGAGGCCATTCCGATGTCTGATTAGGGTGATTTTTTTTTTATTTTGGGTAAGTTTTCGAGATCTATGCGTCTATGGCACCTTGCCCTGCTATTACCGTGAAAAGACCCTTTTGGCCTTAAATTGCAATTTTTAATATCTTTTATAAATAAAAAATTAAAAAACATAAATTAAATATAAAATAATACATATAACATATCTAAAATATATTTATACATTATTTATTACTAAAATATATATTTATACACACATATATGTATATACATATATGTGTAAATAAATAAATAAATAAATATTTAATACATATATGCGTTGATGTGGCATGGTCTGAACCGTTTAACCCGGCCAGTCAAACCAGTGACCCACGATTGGAGGCAAAAATGGTTCGGCCTCTAGATCGGTTTTTAAAACATAGCAGGACAAAGTTAGGACTTATGGCCTCTAAAAGTTTGCATGCATCGAATATGCAACTCACGACCCGGTAACCAGGTTGAATCGGCCGGGTCAAACAGTATTTTGACCGATTAACAGGTTTTAATAGAACTAAACCCAAAATCTTGATTGAATGACGGCTTGAACGACTCAACCAGTCGATTCAACGGCAGGTTGAAAACACTGATTAGAAAGAAGTGGATGATAGTTGGTTTGGAAAATCTCAAATATCCTTGCTTTTAAATGATGCTTCCCACCAAAACAGAATGCCAAAAAGCGATGTTTGCTTTTCAAAATTAAATTAACCGTTCGAGTTAGGAGAAAAGAAACACTACAAATATCCGATCAAGCCATAAAGTCAGTCTCTCAACATTTAACTTTAATGTACATAATGACAAATTTTAATCAGCAGTTTAGATTAAGATGGTCTAAACTAGATCTTGTTGGTTAGTGCTTATAATGGCCATATTAGCGGGGAGAGCTGGGGAATGTTTTGAGGAATGCCAATTGCAAGGAGCTTAGAAGCCTTGTAATCACAAAATGACAAACACAAAGCATTTGTTTTTTAGTAAATAAATAGGGTTTAGGGTTTAGAAATTGTTTATCAAATATTATCATTTGGTCTCCTCGAAAAGACCTCATTATTGTGTGGAAATGACATTTCAGCAACAATAACATGGGTTTTAACATTCAAATTAACAAAAAAATTGGATTATATGGTGAGGGGAAGAACTTGTCTTTAACTCTTGAGTGGCAACAACATATCTTGTTTTTAATATCTTTTCCTGAATTGATAGTTGATATATGAATTATGCAGTGAAAGGGCACCGTACTTGATACTGATATGCAAGTCAATTCCTACCAACCGATTTGCGCTGGCACTAGAATTTGAAAGCCAGGCCCTCTGGCTGGCCTTGTCTCAAGCTAAAACATCATTCCTAGGTGGATCAGGTTCAAAGTTCAAGCCCATCATCCATCTCGAAGCCCAATTGCATGGGTTGAGTAACTTGTAGGGGGTGTCAATTGGATTGGATTTGGTTCAATCCGATCCAGTCCAATGTGAGTCCATTATAAATGGACCAGGTTCAATCCAATCTAATAAATATTATAGACCATTTTGGACCGAATCAATTCAATGTCTGAACCGTTCAATCTATTTAAATTCGTTTTATTTTAGATTGGTTTCAACCCAAATCCAGTCCATTGACACCTATATTCTTCTCTTATAATCAATGGACCAGATATTGGCTTGATCCAACCCAATCCAATATAAATTTATTAGAGAGGGATCCGGTCTAATCCAATCTAATAAATATTTTAGACTGGATTGGTCTAATCCAATATGTCTTATTGGTCCCTCCAATCCGTCCAAAATGATTTTGGACTGGACGGGTCCAATCCAAAACCATTCCATTGACACTTTTAATAACTTGGGTCCACTCCAAGAAGCTTTAACTTTCATACTTTCATGAGAGAAGAGGAAGGAGATGATGATTTGTAAATGACACCCTTGAATTGTTTTAAAATCCTTTCCTTGTATACATCAGCCAGGGTCACAAATGCCTTATTATTATTTCACTCTATTACTGTTGATGACTGAAGTGTCTAATCTGGGTTAATGGTCTCTGTCGACTTCCACATGTGGGCCCATAAGGAGAACCAGAACCAGGCTGCCCAAGCAAAAATAAGTCAAACCTGCCCCAAAACCATAGGTCTTTGACAGTATTACCAAAACCAGATAGTAGATACTCGAACCAAGACAATATGCAAAATTATTAAACTAAAGGATTAAGTACTTTGACATTGGTAACCACTAGGCCCATCTGGAGCAATTTGAGTGGGGAGAATTGAGAAGAGACAGCTAAGAAGAACAACTTTCAGCTTCCATCAAATGATCTTCCAGCCTCCATCTTCATCATCTGAAGCAATAAATCATTCCATGTATCAATGGCCCCAGGCAAGCACCAGTGCGAGCAATCGTTATAAAAGGTGACATTCTCACGGGGCCAGTGCCCATAATTGTTGGGATGTGCATCTGGTCTCAGTAGCGAAGTAAAAGTGATATCAAGCAACCTAAACTTCAACCCTCTCTTCCTTCCTTCTCTCTCTGCCACCTTGAATTCATCAGTTTGGGCCAAGTACATCTCTAAAGGTAAGCCCTCTAAACGGGTCTCACTGCTCTTATAGGGTCTTGTCCTCACACATCTTCCTCCCTCGTTCCAGAAGCCATTCTCAAAGTGCTGAGGAGAGAACGTCCTGAGGAACGTGATGCCCTGAAAGCCTTGTAAGCTGTTGAGTGCTCTAAAGGCAGTCCGGTAGGCCTTTGAGTAACTATAGGCAGAACTAAGATCTGTGACGTTTTCTTGGCGGCAGAGGTAGCACCCCACGAGCTGGCCTTTCTCATAGAACATGGTTGGCCGGAAAAACCAGTGCTCGGCGGCGAGGATAACGTAGTCGAAGTCGACAACCACTTTGATCCAGTCATCGTCGAACTCGTCCAGGTAGAGATTGAAGAGGGCGGTGTAGACGGGACCATCGGGGTCAGCTGCCTTGGATTTGACAATGAAGGGCGCCCATACATTGGCAATGGTGAAGTTGTAGGTGGGGTAACGCCACCGTAGGGTTTGATATTCCACTGGTTGCTCCACCTGAAAAATATTGCACACAAAGAACGGCTTTTAATTTTGAAGAGTTTGTTAATTAAACAAATAAAAAAATAGTTGGAAGGCGACTGAACCAAGAAAATTGAGCAGTGAAGTGAAACTAATAAGTTTGGGAGTGATTATTTGAAAAATAAATGCTTATTGTAATAATTGCTCATGAGCTTTTAGTGAAACACTTATTTCAAATAGTAATAGTATAGATATTTTCAAATTGATGTGGTGGGACAGAAAGAAAATAAGAACTTATTAAATAAGCACTTAAAAATAAATCCGTTTTGATTTCTTGAATTATTACTTATTCTCAGAATAAATACCTAGTTTGGGCTTGTTTTTTCATACGCCAATAAGTACTTTTTGCCGTAGTGCTTATTTCACAAACTTGGCCAGTGGCGAAAAGTTAAGAGTCGCCGGGACCCGGAGGTGGGCCCAATACGAGTTGGTTTGTGTGGGGTTTTAGCTTGGGGATGGGCTCAACTTTCTTTAAATCCATAAACATGATATTCAGTATTTCCTTTGGCAGAAATGCAGAATGAAAAGGAGGTTGAGGGCCGTGAGGAAGAGTTGAGAGGGATGTGGCCGTGAAATGTGGAGAGAAAGAAACGTGTTGTGTTGGGTATGGAATCTTCTGGAGCCTTTTATTTATTTTTTTTTTTTTACTACACACAACTCTGGAGCCGATTCACTCAACTTTCCGTCAATCTAGCCTTCTCTTGCCATGTGATTTAGACACAAGGACATTAAAAAAAATTGATGGAAGACGGGGAAGCTTCAAAACAAAAGAATGTTAAAAAGATGCTGTGAGAGAGAGAGAGAGAGAGAGAGAGAGAGAGAGAGAGAGATAGTAGAAAACAGATGAGGAAAGGCCCACGCTGGTGAATGTCTGTCGTTATATGGCCTTCCTTTGTTTGGTTTGGTTTTGTTTTCTTCTGTGAAGTAGTTTTAGTTAAGTAAACAATGTTAATTTTGTTTGTTATGAATCAATTCACGATTAATTAAGCTGACTACAGCAACTTAATGGGAACAGGAGCTTTCCTGTTCCCTATGCAATCTACCACATGGAGGGTCTTGCCAGATGTGCAATTTCTAATCCATGTCAGCCTACAACCCTCACAAGAGATTATTTTTTTTTTTTATTTTAATATAAAAACTTGTCTGAAAAGAGGGATTTACTTTGTCCACGTGGCAAAGATTTTGGGGACAGTGGAGACCATTTCGGAACAAATCAACGTGGTAAGCTACAGTTAACAAATTAAAATCAGCCACATATCAAGGGGATTCTATCATTCTATCTTATCTCCTACCGGATTTCCGGTCCAAAACGTCATTCCACTCTTCTCAAATCTCAATTCTTCCGACCTAAAACCCTAAGAAATTGAATCAGAAGAGATGTAGGAGCTCCAACAGAAAACATTGCAAGTCACAAAAGATCGGGTAAAAACACGAAAAATGCACAAGAGTTGAACGTAAGCATCATATAATTGGGAAGATATCTGAGGGGGATGCCATGAGAGATCTAATGGCGATTGGGAAGAGATCTGAGGGGGATGCCATGAGAGATCTAATGGCGAGTCATCCATGGTTAAATCTCTTGTCAGACAACAAGAGAGAAGGGATGATGAATGCATCGATTCAGATTTGCCTTTCCCAAACTCAGATTGACTCAACTAAATCGCCCAATCCATCCTCCTAGAAGGATCCTAAACAAACATTTGATACCAACACTTGATGATTGTGCTAAATTAAAACAATGTTGCAACTTGAAACTTGAAACAGAGTAGGAGGTAGAGAGGGCGCTTACACTTGATAAGAGGCACATCAAGGACTCCATTTGGTTTCTTCCTATCGAATCCCCGACAAAGGCCATGGACTTCCCTCTGACGAGCTCAAAGAACTGAAGCGGGTTGAAGACGGGCAGCTCACAGCCGTCTGGCTTCCACCTCCATTTCATATACTCAGTATCAGGTCTCCCAAATTTCATGCAATTCTGTTCATCGTGAATGGTAAAACAAGTGCTGTTTGTGTAAGACGGTGCATCCGGGTTTGGAATCCATTCTCCTGTAAAGAGGTCGCATTGCTTAGACGAAGGTAGCCCTGTTGATTGCTGTATTCCGCCATGGCCGCGAGAAAGGGATGCTGATGTGGAGCGAGAAGATCTGAACCAAAGAAAGGAAGGAAAATAGCCAAGCGACAAGTAATATAGAGGAACGACGGTTAGGAGAGTCAAGGCAAGGGTTGCTAAAACAACAGTCTTTCCTGTATTTTGAAGAGTTTGGTTTTTGGCAGAGAGATGATCAAACCAGGTGCGAGAAGGCTTCATTGAAAAAGGTATAAAGATGTTGCTACTTTGCTAGCTAGGTGCAGCAATTCCAGTGTCGGTGAAGATGTCGAGTGAGTGACCGAAAGTGAACGCAGCTGCTATATAAGCTCATCATTGTATTTGCAATTGATGGAGTTGGCCTCTGCTGTGCCCATCGCCACAGCATTTTTCCTTTTTAACTCCACTATAAAGTATAAACCATACACACATACACACACCAGTCGTGAGTTGTGAATTGTGAGTAGCCCACGGCCGGACGGCCCCACACTTGCGATTATGTGATGTGACCAAAACCAAAAAAAGCATGTTACTGAATTTGAAAGAAATACACGTAGTCACGTACGTATGACGTATATGCTGCCACCATGGTTTCAGCATTTTCTTGTGACCTCTAATTATAATTATAGCATTCCCAGCTAGTAAGCCCCACTGTGATGTGTAAATCCACCACACGCACTTTGCAATTTGCACTACCGTGAGACATGAGTGATGCAATGTGTTTCAAAAGGATGGATTTGGGATTTCAAATATAAATATTTTTGTTAAAAATATTAAATAAATGTGTTACGTATGGTATTAGTGGGCTGTGTTGGGTTGGGGCCATCAATGTCATTTATTGGGTCAGGTCAGATAGTTAGTTAGCTATAAATGAAATTACTTTGTTACTTGCAAAGTGAGTTGGTAGAGTGCGTTATTAGAGTTGTGGCCTGTGGGTTATTTGTATATAATCGGTCAAGACTCGAGAGAAATATTTCCGATATATGACTGCAATAGCTCGATTACAACATTATTTGGACCGTTTGTTGAATTCGCAAAATATGAGAGTTTGAAAACTAACTTTTAACCTATTTTAAAACAGGCTGCTAAGAATGCATTTTATGACTAAATATGTTGATTGAGGGATGGACTACTTCGTTATGTAATCCTTCACAAGATATTAATCTAGTGGTAATGGATATTATGTTGCAAAGGAAAGAGTGGGGTCTGTAGGGGGTTTATTATTGGAAGGAAAAAGAAAGAAAAGGAGACACTTGAGTCAATGCTCTTCAAGTAACATAAAGTGTTATTAGGAGGACACTTGGACCCACCACAACGAACAAGAAGGGTATACAGGGTTGTGACTTGTGGTGGCATTTTCGTTAGACGGACAACGGAGGTGCTCCAAATTTAAATTTATGCTTAGTAGTTAGGAGAGTTGATAGGGTGTTAATCTCGCACGCCGAGGATTGTAGGTCGTTCTACTCTCTCTACATTTGGATTTATGATTCAAGAGAAGAAAATGTTGTAACCCACACAACAGTAGCAATCTAATCTCAGGGAAATTGTCAACATTATCAATGATGATGAAGTAAAGTATATATGGTGATGTAATGCAGCGACACTGAATCAACTTTAGGTATTACTCCTACAATGACGACGGAAAACTCCAGTAGTTGAGTTGTTGATTTGTGATTGATGGTTACAGATGACACCAATAAGCATGACCAAGTAATAGGAGGTTCGGACTCACTGTTTTCACCATCACCGGCAGTGAATCTCCAAGGATGATTTACCACCGACAAAAGAGGCAGCTTGCCGACACAATTAAACCAAAAATACTAAGAAAAGCACTCACTAGAGGATGACTCGTGCCCAGCTAGTATTGTGGAAGATCAAAGGCAAGTATTTTATTTTATTTTATTTTTTAGGGTAAATTATAAAATTTTTGCCTTTATTTTATTTTTTGCGGCAGCCATCATGACCTCAATTGTCCGATCGCGACCACGATCACAACAAGACAACTCCTCCTCCAGCACCTGATTGATCTTCTCCTCCACATCATCTAGAGCGTAAGAACACGGCTTCACATTTCCCCTTCCTTTGTCGTCCGATCGGAACAAAGCCCCACCTCGACCGTGGGATCTGACAACCCATACTACCCTCGTGTGCCATGATCTTAGAGCAATTCTTTGCCACTGCTGAAACGGAGAGAAGAACAGAGCTTATTGTGAAGGCGAAACCACGACGCAGCAGAGAACCTAACTTGACGCCAGACCCAGGCAGGGAGAGATTGTAGTCCCTAGAGGAACTAGAGGGAAGAGCCTCACAGCACAGGAGCATCTCATCGAAGGGAGGAGCTGTGGAGAGCAGATGAAGAAGGAACAGTTAGGCACGGAAGGATACCAGGAGATGGGGCGGAAGGGTGGACTTAGCACCATGGACCAGTCCGGAGACTCTCCTCCTGCAACACTTGCGGAGCCGGAGCCGCCTCCCCTGCAACACGCCGGAAGCTCAGTCCTTGATTGAAGTTGCAGAACTTCATTCTGGCGGACTTCCGGCGGTAACTTCAAAACTTCATTGGCTGCAGCGGCAGACTACAATGGCCGATAAACCAGATGAACCCAGCAACAGCGAGATTTATAACCTAAAGAAAGCTTTGATGGATTCCCTCTATGGCATGGATCGAGGGTTGAGGGCCTCTAGTGAGAACAGAGCAGAGATCGTAGAGATAATCACCCAGCTGGAGGCTAAGATCAAGAACCCAACTGCGGCTCCCACCGAGGCTTTGACTCTTCTATAGTTGGTGGGTGCGTTGTAGATACACCTCTTTTGTGGGCTTATTCCCGCTGTTCTCGAGAGGGAAGCTACCACTGGTGAAGGTGGAGGAGATATCTCAGAGCATAGATTCATCAACCTTGAGCACTAAATCCTGAACCAGCGGTGGAATTGGGTTGGGTCCTCGTCCTTCACCTTGTAGTGTGTAGCCGAGGTTGCTGTGAAGCACATTGTAGCGGATGAAGAAGGGAAGAAGCCGCTTTGTTATAGGTGAAAGAGATTTGAATGAAGTTCAGAATCAATGAGCAAGTGGAGTAGAAAAGGAAAAGAAAGAGAGACGGTGTTTGGCAGATAAACAGTGTTTTTCGCCACTGCTATTCGTGTATCTGAAGTCGGGGAAGATGAACAATGCCCAATTATTTAAATGTTTATTATAGAGATAGTATGGGGATTAAAACGACGGAATTCAACGAAAAGATAACAGAAGGGATTGTTTGTCTCACAGTCATAATACACGAGAGGTCTTTGTTGCAAAACAAAGTACATAGGTCTTTGTCACAGATCCCGTACAGGGGGCTCTTTGTAATTTACCCTAATTTTTTTTTGTTGATAAGGCAAGTATTTTATTCAGGTTGTTTATTTTATGTGATTTGAGAGGCTATAAGATTAGGTTATATGTTTATAATTAAACAACCTAATGGGATCTCCCTCCATCGATGTCATGTAATTAGCCTTGAAAGCCTACGAGTTAGGATATTTTTTTTTTTAATTTGAGTTAAGAAACTAAATTAGATTTGATTTGAGTGGAAATGTGGAATCTTTGCCCCTTTAATATATATTTTAGGGATACTCCAAACCTATGCGATGACATTCACATATTCCCTGCAAGCAATAAAAACTCTGCATATAAATCCAGCTGCACATTGGGCATATCTTCTCATGATGTATAAGAGATATTATCAATATGCAGTTGGATGCCATGCATGCAGAAAATAATAAAATAAATTTGTTAGATAGAGGGTTTCACTTAAGCACCTAAGCTTCATTTTGTGCCAAATTCTCTCTTGATCTATCACAAAAAAAAAAATAAATATGTTAGCATTCTATCAAGAAAATGAATGAAAAATGCCATTATATACATCATGTGATGTGTCAGAGATTTTTAAATGCCCAAATTGTCCTTTTCTTTAGAGAATTATGCTTTTGTCTTCTTCATTCTAGGCTGCTCATCACCAAGGGCAATAGGGCTGCTAGTCACTTCACTTTTTGTTTTCCAAAAATTACCCCTAAAAGCTTCCTATTTTACATTAGTATCTTACAATTTGAAAACCCTATAATAATAATAATAATAATAATAATAATAATAATAATAATAATAATAATAATAATAATAACAATGATAATAATTTATTATTTTACTAATTAGTTATGTGTTATTTAAGTACCTATTTAAATATTTATTATCTAGTACAATTTGTTTTGTTATCCATTAAATTATTTTCATAATTCATTATTTTAATTAATTAAAAATTTATTAATTAATTATGATATACATAGTTGTTACTTATTAATTATTAATTAATTAATTAATGTTCGATTGTTTAAAATGTTTTACTATTTATAATTTTTATCAATTTTATTTTATATTTATTTAATTAATTTTTTAAAAATTTTTTGTCAATTTTCATTTTTCAAAACTCAACAACCAGATTTTAGAATAATACTCTACATTTAGACTTGAGAACTAAGAAAAGTTCACCAACTCCAATGCACCTTTAAAAATAATTGTTATTATTTCAAAGGCATTCAGATGTCAAACTTCAATGCAAGTGAGGCCTTAAACTTAATTGGATAAAATTATGTGCCTTGTTCAAGGAAAAAATGTCCCTTTCTCATCTTAAACTATGAAATGAAGGGGAAAGTGTAATGTTGGTATTTAAAAATGAAACATTTTTCATCCATTTTCTTGACGTACTAATGGAGGTTTATAAGTGCTAACGGAGATGTTTGTTTACTTCACTTATGATAGTTTAAAAGGGAATTTGATGAAGTTTAGGTAGTTAAGCCCCTGTTTGGGAGTGCTTATTTTTAATTACTTTTTGGAAAAATTGCTCATTTTGGGTTAGGACCACACCAATAAGCACTTATATGTGTTTGGAAATAAGCCTGAATAAGTACTTATTCAATAAATAAACATGTTTTGAATAAGTTCAAAATTTTTGCTTTTTTTTCATGCACTTTAAGAAAAAGTGCTTATTGTAGCATGTCTTGGCCTGCCACATAATTTCTAAAATACCTATAATACCCCGTTTAAAAGAAATGCTTTTACCCCGAACACTCCTAAGTGTTTATTAGGATAAGCACTCCCAAACGGGGTCTAATTCAAATAACCCCATGGGGTATATGGAATTTGCGCTATATAATTTGTTTTAAATTATAATCCATTTAACCCATTTTTCCAAGTAGGACCGAAAGCCATCATGTCAAGGGCTTTGCTTTAAGATGTTAGATGCTAGTTGGAGAAGAGCCCATGCCATCTCCAAGGATGCATTAGAGTGAGTACTCGAGAAAACAAAAATAAATAAATAAAAAAAAACAATATTAAAGAGTGAAGTTTAGAGATGATTGGTCATGTGATCGGAAGAAATTCAAATACAAGAATGATCCCTGTGTCACCTTTACTATGTTACATGATTTGTAGGCATCATAGCTTACAATTACCACACAAACCATCATGAGGTAGCAGCCTTCTTTGATGAATGTAAAAAAGATGAATAGATGATGATGATAGTGAAGGTGTTTTCCGTTTAAGGCATATCGAATCTGGTGGCCGAAGTGTCAAGCAGGAAAGGAACATCTGGGCTACCTCATATGCAGCCTTTTCCATGGCCCAAAGTAGTGGGTCTATTAACAAACCGAGAGGCCCATCAAAATTTTAACTCAATTCTCAGATGGGCTTCTGTGCTGGGTTTCCATTCATGGTCACTGATACCTGGTTTTAGATATTGTATATTGAATATAGCAAATCTAGTCATCTAAGCATCACCCCTTTTCATTCTTCTTTGGTAATTGATGAATGATGGATGACCTCGAAACGTCTATTTGGGCCTACATAGGTCAAGTACGGCAATGGTCTTCCATTAGCAGAACCGGAGCCCAAACAAGCAATAAGCCGATAACTCATCCAAAGTCCAAACCCAGAGCTATTTGACAAATGAAAATCCTACCAGATACCCAAACCAAGAAAGCATGCATAATTGAAGGGATCAAATGAATACATCATCGATGTAAATGAGAGAAAGTTAAGAAGAAGTAACTAATTAAAAAAAATGAAAAGCCCAACTTGATTTTGTTTTATCAAATGATCTTCCATCCTCCATCTTCATCATCTGAAGCAGTAAATCATTCCATGCATCAATGGCCCCAGGCAAGCACCAGTGTGCACAGTCGTTGACAAAGGTCATATTGTCATGGGGCGCCAAGTGCCCATAGCGACTGGGATGCCCATCTGGTCTCAATAACGAAGCAAATGTTATATCAAGCAACCTAAACTTCAGTCCTCTCTTCCTTCCCTCACTCTCTGCAACCTTGAATTCCTCGGTTTCGATGGAGTGGGTCTGTAGATTGATATCTTCTAAACGAGTTTCATTACTCGTAAAGGGTCTCGTCCTCACACAGTTTCCACCCTGGTTCCATGAGCCATTTTCGAAATGCTGAGGAGAGAATGTCCTGAGAAACGTTAGACCCTTGAAGTTTCTTGAGCTGTAGATTGCTCTGAAGGCAGTCTGGAGAGCCTTTCTGTAACTGTAGGAGAAACGGAGGTCGGTCACATTTTCTCTGTAGCAGTTGAAGCAGCCCACGAGCTGGCCGTTCTCATAGAACAAGGTTGGCCGGAAGAACCAGTGGCCGGCGGAGATGATAATGTAATCGAACTCCACGATTTTTGTGGCCCATTCAGGGTCCAATTCGTCGAGGTAGAGGTGAAAGAGGGCAGTGTAGGAGGGGTCATTGGCGTCGGCTCTCTCTGCTTTGATCAGATAGGGTGCCCAGAAATGGGCGATTTTGAAGTTGTAGCCGGTTAATTTCCAGCGTTGGAGTTGAACTTCCACCGGATTCTCCACCTGAAAAATACACAGAAAAAACAACTTGTGAGCCGACCTTTTTACGAGCTGAACTCGGTTTGGCTCGAATTCGAGCTGAATTGGCTCGATTATGAAACAAGCCGAGTCTACTAGGATTCGGGTTGGACCTCGTTCGAATCGCATCTAGGTAGGGCCGGTCTACGCATTTATGGGCCAATGTAATTAGTGGACCGAAAGTCCGAAACGGACAAAGCTCATTACTAATCCACAAACCGATTGGGGACTGAATCGATTGAAGGCAAAGTTCGGACTCCAGTCTAGGTTTTCCCCCTGAGCAAACTATCTCTCTCCGACGGTTTTCTCTCCGGTGGTTATATCTCTTGCAGTGTCTTTCCCTCGCCTACTTCTGCAGTCTTCTGTTCAAGTTTCATTTTTAGCTCCTTCTGGAGACTTAACATCGTGTTGGATTTTGATCCGACCATTTCTTCAGTCTTCTGTCTGAGCGTGCATTGGAGAGTTGGAGTTCATCAATCTTCCCTTCCTAAAATCTGTGTTCTGGCCAGGAGCTCCTTTTTATTTTCTTCATGCTCCCTCAGCGACTTATTTATATTCACTGCCACTGCAGCATCTGATTCAATCTTCTTAAGTAACTTATGTAGCAGTTCCTCTCGCTCCGCTGCTTCTCCAGTCTTATGATTTAGCTTGAAATGGAGCTCTTCAATTTTCTCCTCTAGACTACTGGTTTTGGCCAGGCCCAGAAGTTGCTTCTTATTTTTTTCATATTCGTTCAAGATCTGCTCATCATTCACCATCTCAGATGTTTTTTTCTTGCAACTCCCTCCCATTATCTTTTTCCTCTGTCATTTTTCTAAGCTCATTGACCTCCTCGTTCTTCTCTAAGTTTTTTAATTTGGCCATTAGCAGTTTACTCTCTGTTTTGTGCTCCTCTAATAGATTTTCACTGTCTCTCAATTTCTGTTGGAGAAAAGCAATCAACTGCTGGTTTTGTTCAAACACCAGGTTCTTTTCAGAAAGGTCTTTTATTTGGCGTAACAGACAGTCTTCCTTATCTCACCATTCATTTGCTGTAACCCTCCTGCCTTAATCAAAACTTCCCTGCAAGCTTTTACATCTCATCAGGAACTTTGGATAGAGTTTGGCTGCAGAAAATATACTCCATTTGACAAATCTTGTATTCATGAGTATGACGACAGAGTTTAGGTAAGGGGAGGTTCGAGTTCTTGAAGCTAGTGCTACTGGCAGTGGGGGGATTGGGGAGGGGGATGATGGTAAAGATTTGTTGGTTAGTAGCCATGAGAAAACTAAAAGAATCCGCTTTAAGCCTGACCTGAAGATCAAGCTCCTGTATCAGTCTGATTCTGAATTCCTAGATTCAGAATGAGAACTCACAGGAATAAAAAGAGAGGAAGATGAAGATAAATTATTTGAGTTTCGAGCTCCACTAGCTGCTACTATAATTTTTGATATTCCAAATTATTGTGATACTTATTACATGGTGATTGATGCATTTTCTTGTTTAACTTGTAAGTTATATCTAACAGGTTGACCCTCGCATGGTGATTGATACAGGACAGTCGGAATATCTGAAGGAGTTATTCTTTATCTCTTAGTCAGCGAATGAAATTTACACTAAAGAGGAAACTTCATATAATTCCTTGCTCTCAAAGAACATACTTTTGAAATTACATTGTTTACATTTCATGTTAGAATTTATGGTTATTTTACATTTCATGATGTTCTCAGTTACAGTTAAGTATCTGTTCTGTTATGTTCGAAACTACAGGTTGATACAGATCCATGGGAGCTCTGCCAATGAAGATTAAAAAAAAAGAGGTCCCAGAATTAATTTTTTTGAAGATTAAAAAAGAGGTTCCAGCATTAACTTTTTTTCACTTTTGGTGTTATTAACAAAGCAGGAGAGGTCGCCATGTACGAAACATTTGACTAGGAAAGAGAAAGAAAAGTAAATGAAGAAGACATTTTTTGTGAAAATTTAAATATATTTCTACAATTTTTTATATTTTTTGGGTTTTTAAGTAACTTTTGAAGTTCTACTTAATTTGGATTGGATTGGGCCCAATTGGGTCTATTTGCATTTCAATTGGACTGGATTAGATTCAGTTTGTATGGATTTGGACCAGATTTGGTCCAATCCATTTGTAAATGGACCAATGCCGGATTGTACTGGATTAAACCAAATCAGGTCCAATTGACACCTCCAGGCCTAGGCCCATTGGCATTTCATCTCAAATTTAAACAAATGCTCAACCCAGGCCCATCCAAATTGCATCCCAACCGGAATGGATAAAGAGTAGGGGAGAGAGAGAGAGAGAGAGAGAGAGAGAGAGAGAGAGAGAGAGAGAGGACCAAATCAACGAGCCCACTCCATTGAGATAGAAAGTTCCTTAATCACTAAGGAACTTGCTTGAACAACCTGTCATATTTGATATGGACACATGCTCATGCAAGAGCACCTAGCATGTGTGCAATTAAATATTAACCATCGTATATATAATATTTGGATTTAAGTTTTATGACTTGTTTTGTATTAGGGTAAATATCTGTTATATATATTATAGATATATTTAAAGTGCAATGTATATATCAGCTGACCCATTGTGAGCAGCAGATACAGATTGTTATAAAACATGGGCATCTTTTAAGGTTAGCCATGTCATGTTATGAGAAAAACTTGGCCATGAAAAGGGATACAATCCTTTGTTAAGGTTAGGGTGGACACCATCAGAGTCAGTTGGAACTCCAATTTGTGACAAGGACTCTATCTTTTATTCAAAGCTAAGTTTCCTTCTAAGTTCTAGCTTGGACCTTCTGATGTGGGATTATCTCATAGGTCAATATGGGAAAACACTCATAGACATGCTGGATCTAGTAGGCACAATGTAGTAAGCACGTTTAATGATAAATATTCTGACATTTGTGAAAAGTGGAGGAACAGGCTGAAGGTATTTTAAGGGACAGGTGTCAAAAAAAAAAAATTTAAGTGCTTATTGAAACGTACTTGCAGCTTGCCTATCTGATAGGGACTGTGTAGGGCCATGGTAAATTTGGCATGATATAGACAATCTAAATAATCTACCAAATGGAGGACCCCCTTCCCCTTGATTGGCCACTTTGTAGTCTTACCGTCCAAATAAACTTCAGTTCTGGACCTTCTGGTCCAGTCCACAAGTAATAAATATACTTGTACCAAAGAAAAAAGAAACAAAATCTTCATTATTAAAAGGAAATTGCAGGAAGAATTGTATAGGACCATCACAGTTTCAGTTTTATACCATTTGTCCTCACTCTTCGTACATGCGAATTTTAAAAAACAATGTGCACAATTGCATTTTTCTCACGTTCAGGTGACACAAAGCTGTGATGAACCCAACGTTGTTTTTTTACTAGAAAATCTAAATTCTGCCATTTTTCATCATCTAAAGTCTAAGCCTTGTCCCAACTCCCAATTAATTTTCCTTACTATATAAGTTACCATTAACAAATTAAATAACCAAAACTTATATAGACTTTTCTCACCCACTATCTCATAGGACAGAATAGATCTAAATTAAAAGAGAACCAACAAAAACACCAAGTGTACAAGCGTAACCCAATCAAGAGAATACATCAGTGATCCGCAAGAGTTGAGCGCAGGCATGATAGATCGATCGGAAGAGTCATTCTGAGTTTGGTTCAATCTATTTGATGAAGAGAACAAGAGAAGGGGCGATGGAGGTACATAGAGTAAGATAAATTAATTCTGTTTTTGCTTTAATTTTCCCAAACTCAGAATGACTCAGACGGTTAAAATTCGGCCAATTCATCTTCACAAAAGTTAGCAATGGAACTCGGATCCAGTCATGGAAAAACCAGAGAGCAAGAAAATTATTCAATTTGCAGACAGTAGGAGGAGAGAGGTACAGAGAGAGAGAGAGAGAGACCTAGCTTACCCGTGACAAGAGGCACAACAAGGACTCCATGTGGTTTCTCCCCAGTGAATCCCCGACGAAGGCCATGGACTTCCCTCTGACGAGCTCAAGGAAGTGATACGGGTTGAAGATGGGCAGCTCACAGTCATTTGGCTTCCACCTCCATTTCATGAACCCAGTATCTGGTCTTCCATATTTCATGCAATTCTGTTCCTCATGGATCGTCCAACATGTCCTGTTTGTGTAATACGGTGCGTCTGGGTTTGGAACCCATTCTCCTGTGAAAAGATCGAACTGCTTAGCCGATGGAACTCCTGCTGAAACGCCATGTCCGTGAGAGGAGGATGTTGATGATGATGACGACACAGAACTGGTCCATAGAAACGAAGGATAATAGCGTAGAGATGAGTAATAAATAGGAATGATGGTTAGAAGAGTTGAGGCAAGGGTCACCGAAACTGAAACTAAAAGAGAAGTGGTTTTCCGTGTTTGTTGAGGAGGAGTTTGGCTTTTCGGACGGAGATGATCAGACCAGGCTCGTAGATTCTTCATTGAATGCGTTGGCAAAGGTGGTGGGCGAGGGCGACTACTGATTACTTATTGAATGCCAGAAAAAGGACACCTCACCCAAGGCGCCCACCCTCTTCCTTCACTACCTAAAATAAATTAATAAATAAGGGGAGGATAATAATTGGTGATGAGTACTGCCAGGCAATTCATTGACTCAAATTTCTTATTTACATACCACATTGGAGTAGGATGGTTGTTTCTTTAAAGTTATGGGCGGGGTAGGTTGGAAATCTTAGGTGACTCGATGTTTGGTATCATTCAGCCATAAATTATTAGGTTCGAATTCGATTCGAATTAGAGAATTGATCTTGAGTTCGAGCTTGGTTCGAATTAAAATCTCAGAAGTTTGAGTTCGGCTATCTTTAATTGTGGATCTCTCAAGCAGTCGAGGTGCTGAGTCAAGGTTCAGAATCGAGGTCCCCCTCAATTGTCGAGATGCTAAATCGAGGTCTCCCTCAATTTCTAAAGTGGAGCTGAGGTTTCCCTATCAGGCGAAGTGTCAAGCTAAGGTCTCCCTTAGTTGACAAGGTACCAAGTTAAGGTCTCCCTCAGTTGTTGAGGTGCTGAGCTGAGATCTCCCTCAATGATCGAGGTGCCGAGCCGAGGTCTCCCTTAGTGGTTGAGGTGTTGTCTAGCTCGAGCCCGATTCAAATTAGAGACATGAGCTTGATCTCAGAAGTTCGAGCTCGGCTCGGTTGGAGTTTGACTACCTTTGATTGCAAGTCCCCTAGCAGTCGATATGCCGAAGTGAGGTCTCCCTCAATTGGAGAGAGAGTGGCATTCTTGTAATTTATAAGGAGAGAGAGAGAGAGATGACATTCTTGTAATTTGTAAGAAAAATAGAGAAAGAGAGTTAGTAGGAGAGAGAGTGGTATTCTTGTAATTTGAAAGAAAAAAAGCAAAAGAGAGAGAGTTGGTAGTAGAGAGTGGCATTCTTGTAATTTGAAAGAAAAAAAACAAACTAAAGAGAGTTGGTAGAGTGGCATTGTTGTAATTTCTATGAAAAAAAGGCAAAAAAAATACTGTTAGATTCCATTTCCCTCGTCCTCAAGCCTTATTACGTACACATTTTAGCTTAATATATTTATATAGATTATTGGTTCTTTGTATATTTTATATTATTATTTGATGCCAGCTATGCATCATGAGATGCCACGTAGGAATAAAGTTAAGACGTTTACATGGCAAAAAAAAAAAAAGACTGATGTTTTTTCTAAAAGTTGCTTTCACAAAATTCAAGGCATTCTCATTCTTTATTGTTTAAAATCTCTGAAAAACGCTCAACCAAACAAGCAAAAAACTAAGGGAGATAGATTGTAAAAATAAAATGTCTATATGGAAAGATACAAAGTATCAATACGTATCATATCAGGAGCTTCCCAATACACCCCTACAAAGGGTGTATTGGGATTTTGATCAGTTCAGAGGGTAGATAGACCTTAAACTAGCACCTCTGAATCGGATTTGAAAAAAAAAACTAAAAAAACTACCGAGACTGCCCAATATGCCTCTACCAGAGTATCAAGCGTATCGATATTTTGAACCTTGCTATATGGTACTGACATGGAGGAAATGCCTGGGAAAAACAACTCTAGCACCAAACACTGCCTAAGTATATGTTTGGCATCGATGTTGTAGACATAGAACCGTTTTTGCACCATTCTCAAAAAGCGGTATTGCTGATGTGTAGGTTGGAAATATCGTTTTCTCAGAAAATGGTGTTTTTTTTTTGTTTGGAAACGTTGCTGCCAGGTAGGATGTAAATTTCCTAGAGCAACAACAACATTTCTGTTTGGTACCAATGCTCCAAGAAACGTTTTCAGCACTGGTACCTATTATCCAGTGCTTCTACTATGTGTGTATTATCTTACATCCAACGGTGGAAAAAAATACATTTTTCATCCTATGGTCCCAATTGTTGAATAGACTATAAAAATAAAGAAAGAAATTCAGGAAATCATGAGAAAAAAGACAAAAAAATCTAAAAATTACATGGAAAAAAACAGAAAAATTCATATAATATCTAGATAAATGGAAAAATATAAAACAAAGTACGAAAATCATAAAATTGAATGAAATTGCATGGAAAAAACAGAATATAAATATAAATATAAATGTACATATTTATATATTTATATATATTCTAATTTTCATATATATATATATATATATATATATATATATATTATAAAGAAAATCACAAAAACAAACTGATAAATTTATATTTATGTTTATATAAATATATAAACATAAATATAACTACAACTAAAAACACAACCAAAACACAATAATTGTTACATCGATGTGAGTATCAGATGTGGCAAAAATGAAGAAGAGCAAACTGTAATCAGGTTCGATTGTTTCAAATCAACTTGAAACAATTCCAAACTGAAGTCTCCTCTATTCTCAAAACTAATGTCAATTCAAAGATATTCTTAATTATTTTACTCATAGTGAAAAAAAAAAAAAAAAAAAAAAAAAAAAAAAAAAAAAAAAAAAAAAAAAAAAAAAAAAAAAACTAAAGAAGTCTCCTCTGTTCAAAAACATGGTGATTAGAATGATAGAATGGTGAAGGAAACACAAATATGTTTTTCCAAGTAATGAAAGAGCAAATATCACACTAATCGACCAAAACAAAAGAAAATAGAAAAAATAAACTTGGAATGCTTGAACAATGGTATCTCCGGTGGTCGAACAGACGGTGACTAAAAAAATGAACTTGAAGAACACAAACTTCCGGTGAATGAAAAAATGTTCGATGACCGAACAGACAGTAGAACTAATCTCCAGCATTCTATTTGATTCTCCGGTAACTGACTACGCGGGTAGACCTCCGTTGACTGGTTGCACAGGTGACCTCTGGTGACTGGCTGCACTTGACCTCCAACGACTGAAAAAATGCAAAAGAGGATTAGGGTTCGTTAAAAGCAGAGGAGAAGCGTTTAAGATATGGTGCATTGCGATGCACCATATAAATTCAAATAACGACCACGTTGGTTGCCACATCACTGCCATCTCATGTCCCTATTGGCAACAACGAGCTACAGCTCTAAGAAACACCAAATTCGGTGTTGCTCTAAGCCATGCCTTGCTGATTTCCAAGGTGTGACTTGGAACACCATTTTTTATGGAAAAACGGTTCCAAACAAATGGGCATTTCCTGGAGCACCATTTTTTCCGACGTGACACTGATGTATCACCGTTTTTTGGAGCAACAACAACGATGCCAAACAGACACTAAATTTACATATATACAGTTTTGTCCCATTTAGGTGATGTTGGGAGGCTGACAAAAAATAAAAGTGATGCTGGGTATCGTGGTTGTTTCTACTTGAAATATTGCCACACCAGAACCACATGGGCATGCATTTTAAGTTTAAATACAAATTTTATATTTTGTTGAGGCTCTTTTGAGTTAAAAGAGTCATAAACCAAGGTGTGTTGGATTGGAGGAAACCTATTATCTTCCCATTTGAAGGAAGAGTCTAATGAGCTGGTTCTTAGGTGGCATCCTACATGGTAGTGTAAAGATATAATTTGGTGCATCATACGCTGCAAAGATGGATATACACCACTAAATGCCCATAAATCCTATATTCAAAATAAAAGTTGTCTTTTTGGTTCTATGGTAGTAGGGATGGCTATACTCTTCATTCCCAACCCTAACTTTGAGACAAATCTCCATTCTTGACCCTAATCCCCACCAGGGATAAAAATGACCCTCCATCCTCGATCTCAATAGAGATAGGTTCCTTGTTAGGTGTCTGAATCCCCAAAAATTAAAAATTTTTACATATATATATATTAAACATTTATTCCTGAAGCCCTAAAGTGGATTTGTGTATAAATATAGTGCCATTCAACTCCTACATGCAATAAAATATCTTGTATACTTTATGGTGTTTTCATCACCTGCTATATTTCTAGATCTATTTCAGACCAAATTATTTACTTGTAAGAAACCATTGACCAAATGAATAATTTGTTTACTTGACAAGTTGATCCACTGAACTGTGTTTGACCCAATCAGCCGGTCATGGGTTTGTACAGATTTCCTACCTTTTATTTTTAAACCAAATAATAGTGCCAATTATAAGGCATTGGGGACTGAGGCGTTTATGTGTTTGAGGCTGGTTAAATCCATTTAACTTGGATGATTGATCTGTTAGATTGTCACTTGAACTTGAAGCCAAAAAAATGGTTCTATTTTCATGCCAATTTTAAAAACACTATAATTTTGGGCCTTCATCATCACCCATAGACGCTCAGTGTGTTAAACTGTAGATGAAAAATCTTTTAGGGAGTGTTTGGTTTTATTTTTGTTTTAATCAGTGCAAGACCCGTTCGATCAGCCTTGACAGCCTTGCATTGGGAACATTTCCATATTTCTGTATTTTATTTCATTGAAGATATTCCCAATGCAAGGTTATAAAGGGTGTTGGAACGGGCCTTGCATTGACTGAATCCGGATCCGTCAAACACCACGTCCCACTCCAACACTTTGTTGTGCCAGTTTTTAAGTTTAAATATCCTGTGGCTGCAGTATTGGGTGGCTTTTCATCAAACCAAAATGAAAATCCACTTATTATTCATTCAGCTCACGGCTTAATATGTTTGGGTGGGCCAGACCAACAACAGAGGAGTGGGGTATGAATGGATCATTATAAATAGTGATACTAATACATGCCCAACAAAATCATGTCTGTTGACTCTATTTACCCTTTAGCGTTGTTGGCCCAATAGTAAACAACACTATTGAAACTTAAGCCCTTTATACAAGACAACTAGTGATTTCTTAAAATTTATAATTAAATAATTACAACTGTTTTTTTTTTTTTTTAAATACGGGATACAGTAAATCCAATTGGATTTCGGATGTAAATTTTTAACAGTCAGATTGGATTCAGATGTGACTGGACCCGATCCGAATGTTACCCATTTACAGTAAATCCAATTGCCTCTGTTTTCAAAGGCAAAGGTAGACAACAATCAAACTGAAGTTGTATTCTTAATACTGGCTCAATCATGCGACAGAGAACGTACTTCTGTATACTAATGAACACA